GATGTCCACACCTGATGTGTGTATCGTTACATTTAGGTATTCTGATGACACCTTATGCAAGGAAGAGAGTTACAAGCCCAGCATCACAAACTATGTGCACCACACTGTGGACTCCAGGATGCTGGACTAGGTTTGGTAGTGACAGTGAAGAAGAAGATACAAACGAAAGTAACAGTACAATAAGTGTACAATAGTACAAAGTAAGTGTACAATAAAGCTATTGAAAATTTGTATGCTGTGGCTCTAAGAAAAAACCGATCTGAATTAACGAATCAACTTCAAAATGACTGGGACATTACTTCCCAAAAAGGGAAAGACATGTATGTAGAGAAGGCAACCGAGGCCAGCAAACTAATCTGCAAAGTCATCAAAGCGGTGACAAGATTGACAGTGATATTCCAATACATGCAATATTGCAAGGATGAAAAAATCAACCCTCTTAGCCGCTCGACTCCATATTAAATCTTGGAAGTAAGGAAGGCATCTCTTGCAGGCTTAAACAATACAGCAGCAGACGGATCAACTGCTTTTCAAACTCTACAGTCGATCGTTGAACAGCTTGTTCAAGTGGGAGCAAATAAGAAGTGGAGCCAAAACATCAGTAAGAGACCAAACAATATTTCAGTATGATCAGGCTAAACAATATTTGAAGACTGATTTCAAAACTCATTACCTGTAATGTGAAAGTTTATGTGCTGATCATTGCACTTGGTGATCCTGATAAAGTCAATTTCCAGACCAAGTGCACGCATCGTCACTCTGTTATTTGTGAAAGCTGTGAGAGCTTGAAAGCATTATTTGTTGAGTTATCAGAGAAAATTGTTGAACATCAGGATACATCTGTCTCCCAGAATCACAGTGAGGGTTTGCTTTATGATTGTAAGGCATCACATTCTTCACAGAAGTCACATTCTTCAATGGAAAGCCCATACTCTATGAGGAATTAACCAAGAGAAGGCTAAACAAAACATTATTGCAAGTTTAGATGATTCGTTCAGAAGCGACTCAGGGAAAAGCAGTCAGAATGGTTTGGAAAGAGAGGGTTAGGCTGGCACATTAGCAGGGTCGTCTCGAAGAACAGTGAGACAAAGACTTAGGATGTAACTTCATACGCGCACCTGCTTAGTGAATGTAATGAAGAATGGTTTTCTCTTTTCCTCTCTAATTGAAGATCTACTTCGAGTTGTGAAGACCAGTTTGCCGTCTGTAAACAAAGCTTACCTATGTTCGGACAAATCTGGTTGCTATCACAAAAATACTGTAAAAATACTCACGTAAATACTGTAACGAAGGTCATGACGTATTAAATGCAGATGACATGTATGCCGCTATCAAGAAGTATCCTGTCAAAGGAAAAACTGCATCTGTGCGCTAAATTGATGAGTCAAAGAAAAACATTGAATAGAAGAAGATACAGAAATTTGGCTCATAATCATAATTTTGAGTTTGTAGAAGACAACACTATTAAAGTTTGGAAAGCATTTGGAGTTGGGGATGGGAAAAATGGGAAGAAAGTTCTGTTTTAATAAAGCGACAACAAACAATCAACTGGACTTAGAGTGCATAAAGAGTTCATGGGAATCAGTTTAAGAAGGCAAAAGAAACTAGAGGCTGTAGAAGATGTGGATGCTTTGAGAGTGGGTAAATACGTACTGCACTGTTACGATCAATGTTCAGAAAGTGGCTACCTCTCATAAATCTATATCTCAATTGGAAAGTGGCAACTTTTAGATGGGATGGGCGTTGAGCAAGGCAAGAACTGGTGGCGCTTGTTTCCCAGGGAAGACTATATTTGGTAGCCAAGTTTGATTATGGCCAAAAGACAGGGGAAAAGTGTGATCCAGTACAGGTTTCAACAGATATAAGAAAAGCTAAAAGTGAAGACAGGCTGTTTATTAGAGAAGAGTGGCTGACAGCTACCCAAGTGAAGGGGTTTTTTCCTCATTTTGTTACTTTCCTCCTTGAAGACATTCCTTTAGGGAGATTATTTCGATTTTATACTCTGTATATGTGTAGTTGCTATTCTGTACTGTATGTTCTGGCCACATGGAGCAGGCAATGTTGATATGACAAATAATTGGTGGACGAAGAGCTTATTGTCCCACACCTGACCGGCATATCATGCAGAAAAAATGCAATGGAAATGTAATATTTATTGGCTGTCACGCATTAATTAACAAAATCGTGACCAGCGCACATGAAAAACATGCTGCTCATAAATAATATGATTGGCTGCCATATAAAATCCAGTAAATAGACCGAAAATAAATAGCAGAATCTGTAAGTATCAGAGTGTAAACAACTAAAAGCGTATGTATAATGGTTTACAAGGAAGAATTGCAAAACTCTGATACAAAGGATCCTGTGACTAGTCAGAGCTCTTTATTAAAATGATATTAAAACATAGCCAACCTGTTATTGCCAATCAGGAAAACTTATTGAAAGTAACAAAAGGAGCAAAACAATGTGCTCCAATTGGGAAAGAAAGTGATAGAAAAGGTGCATAGTTTTGCCGTAACTTATACAGGGGTTTTCAAATGCAGCATTAAGCTCTGTTGTTGTGATTGTTTGTAGAACTGCTTGTGAAGCAGACTGCTTGAAGACTTTTGAAGTTAAAGCCAGGCCTGGGAATGACAGGATTGCCAATTTAGTGCTGTGAAGACTTGATTGGTCTCAGACTTTTTCGCGGGTTCTTGTGTTATGGTCTGTTTGAATTAATAGAATAGAAGCAATGATGGATAGATATATTCCCTGAGGCTGTGTGGGACAGAACATCAATTGTGACAGAAGGTAGCGGAATCCAAAGTTGCTCAAATTCGATGTCATGGACAGTCGAGGTTGGATGGTTCTGTCAGTTATGCGCATGCACAAAATTTGAATGACTAAAGACTGGTAATCAGTAACATCCGTATTGGCCCAGGCAAAATGTTTATATTTCAAATACAGTGTTGACAATTTACCATTTTTTTCAAAAAGCCATTTAAAAGGTTTGATGCAATGAAAGAGGAAAGAAAATATATTATAAAGATGCAAAGAATCAACCTCGTACCCAGGGTCTTTACTTGTGGTGGTGGGGAGTAAAGACCCTGGCTGCGGCTGGTCACGTGAACCCCCAGATTCTGGGGGAAAATTGAAATTGCGCTTAGGGAGGGGTGCTAGAGGCTCGCGTTGTTAAGGCGTTCAGAAAATTTCATTTTTTTGTATTGTACTCGCGTTCATTTTGATCATAAAACCATACATATAGGCTCGAATATATGAATGTTTTTTCAGAAACAGGATTACAGTTATAATATCCTGTCCTGGAACACGGGAAGTATTAAATTACATTTTAAGTATGGAGATATTATCAAATTTCAAATACCTATTCATTCAATCGAGCGATGGCAAGCAAAGACACGCCGAAAAAGCTCTACGCGAAAAAAACCGAGGCAAATATTTCACGTTGCAGACTTTGTTATTGTGTTACTGACCCGAAGCACAGTAAAAATTTGTTTCGAAGTCAGAATCTGATAACTTTGCACAATGCGGAGACAGTATATGGTAGTGAATTGCCACATGGAAACGACCTTCCTCATCAAATTTGTTCTGCCTGTGAAAGAAGGCTGAACAATGCGATAAAGTTAAGGGATATCATCATTAAGACTCAACAGAAACTACAGGAGAATGTTCGAGCAAAACGATGTGTGGAAGTTTCTCCGTCTGTTATCCCCTCAGCTAAAGTGCGCACAGCTGGGACTTCACGGCGACGAAGTATTGACTTCGGTAATGTTGCTGCCGAAAAATCTCCAAATGTAAGTGTTCGTGATATTTTAAAGCTTCTGATATCTTTAGTTATTCTCATCTCTATATATTTTTAAATATAATTTATGTTTAAACATAGTTCTCGTCCGTATTATTGTTGAATATTTTGCGGCATATTTAATATTCATGAATACTTTCATTGTTCCCATGAATGAATTCATTCACCCGCTAAGAATGAATTTATTCACACGTCTGAATTGACCTCTAAACAGAACAATGACTCAATTTTACGCTGCATTTCAGTATTCATGTTTTATACAGTATCGTTTTGTGCTTAATGTCAAGTTACAAGACCTTTCACCACTTCCAAAATTTCAAAATATGGTATATTATAAAATATATATTGGCATGTATAGATGACAGTGTGACAATATGTTAATTAAGGTCGATGCCTCAGAAGTTCTTATTGAGGCAAACAAGGAACTGATTGAAGTGGCAAGAAGAAGTGATGAATCTGTCCTCAGGCAACGAAATTATTATGGTTTATCTTGTTAGGATTGGATGTCTGATGTTGTAAAGGAGATGGCCACCAGATGTCCAACAGTGCATAAATTCCTCTGTGGTCTGTTGGAAAGCAGCATCTATCCAGCAAAGAAGAACCCTGCAATTTGCTTGATATATGGCATTGTGATGTTTTTACGATGCCATGAATTGAGCAGAATTCAAAGGATCAATTCTGTTTTATTAATCGAAGGTCAAGCATCTGTAAATATAAGTCACTTTAAATAGTCCTTAATTAATGACAACCTCATACCCAGGGTCTTTACTGTGTACAAGGTTGAATTAATGAATGATTGACAAAAGATTGACCTGTTTGCCAATATCTTGAGTTTGTTTAAATGGTGTCAAGCAGATGTGTAACTAGAGCACTAATTGAGGGGGGTGAATATTCATATATTAACCCCCAAATGTACGCATATACTGTACATGTGTTTAAAAAAAAACGCAGGCAGAACAGAACATATGAATATTCACCCCACCAATTACCACTCTAGTTACGCCCCTAGTGTCAAGCAATACATGACCAGCATGAAGCATGATTCTTTTAAATTTATTGACATCATTAAACATAACTTATTAGTACAAAATAGGTTATGTTTGGACCTAGACTGGGATCACTACCTATATCTTATCTATTTTTCAAAAGCAGTGTGTGAGCTCAATATATTTTCCTGAACTTAATCCTTCTACTTTTCATAATGTTTCAGCTGATTTCCCGTTTAAACAAGTATGGTCTGTGCCTTGAGCCTATGAAGAAATACCCAATTCTAGAAGACATTGGAAAGAGTTTTATAGATCATGCAGCAGAGTTGGTGAAGTCTGGACATAAATTTGTGTATGTGTTAGACAACATTGACTGGGAGGAGAAGGCCCATGACATGAGGCAGAATGTGCAAAACAGGAGTGTTCATGCTGTGGCAACAAGTATTGTATTTAATCGAGCTTCTGATGAAGGATTGCCCGATTCTGGTCCACAGCAAAGTCTTAAAGATTGCAATGTCCACCAGCTGGTGAATATCAATCGACTGGAATCTGAGGCAATCAGAAGCAGATATAGAATACTTGTTGCCAGGCTTTTGTTTGAACATTTTCCTGCTTTTGCAATATTCAAGCCATATATACCTGGAGCCACTGATTGCCAACAAACCAAGAATATGTCAGCCAAGTCAGAAGTTGTGACAATGCCCATCTTAATGAAAGATGAAAAGAAATATTCAGAATGTGTGGATGTATTGGATCAGCTTGAGAAGTGGACGGAAGAAATATATGCAGCTGCTGGGCTATGTTCCCCCTCAGAACCTGATGATGCCGCACCAAGCATTGGGACCACATCCAGACCTGATCAACCAGCCTCACACGTACCACCTGCTACAACTGATGATGATCCTTTACATGGTGTAAAAATACCTTGCTTTGGTGATCAACTCACTCGAGTCAGATTTGCTGGGGCAAAGGATCTTAGAGCTGGATGCCATTCAGCTAAACAGAGACTGGATCATCTATATCCGTTTTGTATTGTCGACTGGCACACCAAAAGAAGTTTTTTGAAGGTACAATTGACTTTGTGCCACTTTGCCTAAAAAAATTCTTAGCATTTGATTTCTTCAGTAATTATAACATTGGAAGGCTTGATATGCTATAATTTAATTAAATTTGAAATTGACTGCTTGTAAGTAGAGCCTTACATTTTTTCACATTTTTAAGACGAGTACCAGGTGTTACAATAAAACTAGCCCTGCTTACATGCATTAGAGTTTATTTCAGTTGGTTAAATTTTTTTGTGACACCTGTTAAAAGTACAAAAATTGTGTTAAATTGTGAAATATTTGTACCATTTCAAATACCAGTAATTTACTTTTGAGTTTTAAAGCAGTCACATATAACATTTGATGTACAGGTGATTTTTTATATCCTGAACTGAATGTACTTTGTGATCTGGCTCCAAATTTGCCTTTGAAAAGTTCATTATGTTTATAAATCAAATGTGCAATATTAATATTTTACCATGTAATATTCTACAGACAGTGTTCAAGAGACTTTACAAGAACTCCGGGAGAGAGAAAGGAACGCTGCGATTCTTTAGAGAGAAGCTGAACCGACGAAATGTCACTGTCGACGTAAAGCACTATGAGGACTGTGAGCAGCTGTTTTACAGTGTTGGTAAGTGTTTTGTGATTGAGGCCCTTTTGGAATTTTTCCAAATGGACGACACAAAACACAAGCCAGCAGCAAACGGTCCTCATAGTGTTCATGTATTGCAAGAAGAATACAGAAAGAGCTATATTGTCCAGGTGCTTGACAAATTTATTGATGAGTTTCTTTTCATTGATGATGAGGATGTGTATGATGAAGATGAAGATGGAGACAACATTGAAGATGATGGTGTTTGGAGCTATGGAATCAACATCATAAAGTGTTTTATGCTCCTTAATGATTTCAAGGATGCTGTATCCTCAGGCAATGGTGAACACCTCCTAATCCTGCGAAAACAACTGCTGGTTCACTTTTTTGCAACATCAGGATTTAATGAGTTCGCTATTGAAATGCTCATCAATATCCTACAGTCCAAAGTGTTGCTCTCAACCGTCGAAGCTCATCGCTGTAAATGGGCTGCTACAGTGAATTGGAAAGGTGGTGCTGGCAAAAATATTGAAATTGATCTTTCCAAGAAAACAGGAACTGTGAGATGAAGAAGTTGATTCGTGCAATGGGTGCCAACAAGACTGACAAGGCAATAAGCAGAGCAAGTAAAGCATCAGGAGGAGTAACAAAAATAGTGGAGGCATTTGAACATCAAGTGAACATTCATCCGAAGTCAACCACTCACTCACACAAATCCGCAACTGATGACGAAAAAATTATAAGCAGAGACATAAGAGTCTTGAAGCCTTTCAAGAAGGATGGAAGATCATTTGAGTCTTTTCCAAATATTTCATGTAATCCCACCCAAGCATTAGACAAGGATAAGTTTACAACATGGATTGATAGGCACAAGAAAAATATTTTAATGCACTATCCTTCAGAAGATGCCGAACTGTCACACGAGTGATAATTGCCTGTGCCACAAAACTGTGAGTAATCTACCTCAAACAAGTATTTGATAGTTTTAAGTGAACTGCTAAGGTTTTGATTGAATCAATGTTTGCCACTAATTGATCTGTAAATTACAAATGCAAAATTTCTTTCATCTTAACCCATTGTCCAAAAATGAGAATTTTTTAGGCACACAAAATTGTATTCTGCTACAGGTTTTAAAATCATGGCAATAATTGTCAATCATTTTGGAACCTCAGGGGCATGCAATTATGTATGTTCAAGAAATAGTTGTTTTGGAAAATGTTTAATTTGCCCTATACTATAAATATAGAGTAGTATTTGAGGCTCATGAATTGAAAAGATGAGAAATTTGTTATATGATGATTGTTTTCTATTTATTGACAATGTCGATTGTATCGATTTTGATTGTATCACACATTTCATGAAACAAAAAAATTGTTTTCAATGGTTGTAATTGTAAAGAAATCTAATACTTACAGAAACTTTAGTAGAGAATGCACTATTAGCCTATAGAAATTTTTTATATCAGTTTTTATATAAATGTATTGTAAATAACACATTTGCACTTGCACTGGTCATATGAACACAAATCTTATGAATTTGTACATTGTAGATTTTAAGAAATTTTTTTAAAGAATATATATATAGTATTGGCAAATTATTTACACTAATTGCAATTTTCCTGCCTGTCAGTCATTCAAAATTACAATAGAGGAATGGTGATTGACATTGACAATGCATTGTCTGAAACCTAAACAGTCCCATGTTCCATTATTACAATAATTACCAATCCTCTACTGCAAATTTGATTGGTTGTCCATAATGTTCAAGCACAAGGAACAAATACACTGCTTCTTACAAACATCACAACAAAGGTGGAGTGGGTTAATGTATGCATCCTGTTCGTAATCGAGCGATTTCAGCAGTAACTTCCTAAGACATATATTGTCACTTGAGCAAAACTCACGCATATCATCTTGCATGCCCACCCTATTTTTTGCAATGTCCTTGTTGTTGTAGTGCAAGTGAGCTGATGAAGGTTTGCCATCTCTGCCAGCACGTCCTGTCTCCTGGAAATAGGCCTTTACAGTACTTGGAGGCCCAATATGAATGACCTGACGAATGTTGGGAATGTCCACACCCATCCCTATAGCCACAGTTGCAAAAACCACACGAATAGTACTCTGTCCAGAACAAAGCTGTTTTAAAATTTCATCTTTCATTTGTGTGGTTTGAGGGGCATGAAATTGTGCAAACAGCCAGTTTGCTGGGATTGAAGCAGATCTGGGGGGGAAATATTGTTCAGCACCAAGAACATGTTCGAACATCCTGTACACAAACCCACATAATCGTAATGGTACATAAACAATTGTTAATGGATAGTTTATTTTCTCCAGTAAAAGACCCTTTGCTATCGGGATTAAAATTGATTGAACTGTATCAACATCTTGACCATGTCGAAAGGTTTTTTGGTAGAAAATATTTTTCCGATCTGGATTGGCAGTGACACACAATTCTTTAGTCCTAATGAATCCTCAATATATTTAATGTCAGTCTGACTTGCTGTTGCTGTCATTGCAATTACAGGCACATCTGGGAACAGTGCACACAGCACTCCTAATCTGCCATAATCCTTTCTGAAATCACTTCCTCTGCAATAAAATTGAATGTATTAAACTTAAGCTTCACATTGAGCACATTATATTGACATATAGAGTATTTAAAAATTGATCAGCCTAGATTTTTATAATGTGATCCTAGCATGAAAATCAGAAAACACTTTTAGAAACGTAACTTGATAGTTGATACTAACCAGTCTAATATACAATGAGCTTCGTCTATAACGATTGCAAGGACATTTTCTTGGTATATTTCACTTAACAATAATTCGCGTCCATATTTGCTTGAAATAAGTGTTTCTGGATGCGCAAAGACAATGTTGTATTGACCATCGCGTAACTTTTTATCTTCACATTCGCTGAAGTCAACATCTATATTTTGGTCTTCAGAGTCGTCGTCAAATTGTTCCCTTCTCGATTCTTTTACACCAACAATAGACGCTCGAATGCCACTCATACTTAGACGCGATACTTGATCACTCATTAGGGAATTTAATGGCGATACAACAATGACAATCGAGGTAACTAACATCGTAGAAATACCTCTCGGTGCTCGGATTAAAGCATCACGCAAATGGTATTTTGCAAAGAGGGTCAATGGCAAAAGATGAAAAATTAAGGATTTGCCATAACTGGTCGGTAAAAAACATACCACGTCCTTCTTTAGATACAAGCTCTCTAGACAAATAACTTGCTTTGGTTTCAGAATAGTTTCTAGGTATAAACTATTTAAAACCGCAAATTCTACACACGATAAGAAGGCAATGTAGTCCAGCATGGCGGAAACGCAACAGAAATTGCCGTCAAGTGGGAGTTTGTAATATGACACTTCGCCCACACCCCCTAAGGCGATGAAATTTTGGGGGTTCACGTGACCAGCCGCAGCCAGGGTCTTTACTCCCCACCACCACGAGTAAAGACCCTGGGTACGAGGTTGGCAAAGAATCTTATCAGCAGATGCTGGAGGAGAAAGAATGTTCTTTGGAAAAGCACTTCTGATAAGTGCAGAATTGAAGCTCGCCACTGTGGTTTGCCACACCACATCTCTCCAGACAATTCCAGGTCCACCCCTGTTCCTTCAGCTCTCTCTCCACCATTCTTTTCCAAGTTTCCTTGCAATGGCCTCTTTTCATTTGGCTGTCAAAGTTTGGCGGGTCTAACGGAGAGCGATTCTTGGCAGAGACGTTGGTGGCATGCAGAGGACATGTCCAATCCACTTCTATTTTGTTTGTCTAACTTCAAGGGTGGTTGGTATGGTGCTTCTTCTTTCATGTAGCTCTGAGCTTGAGATGGTGGTTGGCCAAAATATGTTCAAAACTTTGCATAGGCATCTATTCTGAAACACCTGTAGTTTGCAGCTTAACCCTTTGGCCATTCTACAATTCTGATCCATAGAGGAGGGTATCGAGCATGTTGCTTTTGAAAAGTCTCAGTTTGGTTTGCATACTCAACTTCCTTGTTTTCCAGATGGTTTTCAAAGATGAGAAAGCCTGACTTATTTTGGATATTCTCTCTTTGACCTCTCTTTCACTGTCCCCATCCTTGGTCACCTTGGACCCTAAGTAGGTGAAGTGCTCAACTTCCTCTAGATCATTCAATGTGATGGCTGTGTTGTTCTGAAGTGTTTGGTTTTCTTGGTGCTAATCTGTGCTGCTGTGGTTGCCATCTTGTAGGGGTCTTCAGATCTTGAACTTTATAAGCTTCCTCCACCTCATCTGCTAATCTTTCTATGTACTCTCTCTTAGCCTGCCACTTGCCTGTTTAAATCTGAGTATATGCATTGCCTCACTCCCTCTGGCCTGGTGCTGTTAATCTTCTGCTCGGCCTCTTTCCTGTCATCAATTCTCTCCCATGTATCCGGTTGTATCCACTCCTCTTTCTTCTTCTTAAAGCCCAAGACTTTCTCCTTACTTCCTTTAGCACTTTATTCATCTTGTCAATAGTCATCTCCTGCTCTTCCCCTGCTCTTCCCCTAGCACTCTATATCTGTTCTTTACCTAAATGCTGAAGGCTTTCTTCCTGTCCTCACACTTAAGCTTGCTAGAATCCATCCGTCTCCGTCTCTGTGCATCTTGAGGGCCACTACTCCTATTACTAAGTTGTGGTCACTTGCGGTGTCTGCTCCCATGTAAACATTTACATCTCTCAGTGAGCTCTTCCATTTCTTGTTGATGATATTGTGATCAATTTCACTCTTGGTCGCTCCATCTGGAGATATTGAAGTGGTCTTGTGGAATGTCTTGTGTTGGAATAAGGTATCTCCGATGGTCATGTCATTGTCTTCACAAGACATTCTCCACTGTCATTCATCACTCAATGTCCATATGCTTGCCAATGGTCCCTCTCCTGATGTTATCGTCTCCTCTGATGTTATCCTCTCATACTCTAGTTTTTAGATCTCCGATAATTAGCAGCATGTCATGGGCTTTGACTTCCTCAGTTGTTGCCTGCAGTTGTAGAGGTTTTCTTTATCGGAGTTGAATCTGGTCTTCAACAAGCGTGGACTCATGGGCTTCCACTCTAGCAGGGCTTTCTCCATGGTGCTACACTGCTACTGATGATCATGCCAACTCTTGCTGTGTGGCCTACTTTTCTTCTGTGATACTATTTTTCTTCTTCCATTTCCACTCCACCTTACTGTGCTGACTCACATGTCTAACCTGTACTCATGAAACTCCTTTGCAACTTGGGCGAGCTTCCCTGTCTAATATAGTGTCCGGACATTCCAGCTTGCCACCCTCATCCTCCTTTTTGGCTTCAGGGCACCCACCTTCTGGCTACCAGCTCCCTGCTGGGTTTTGCTGTCAGCTATCATCTGTCCAGTCCCCTTGCATGCTTCGTGCTTTTCGTGGGTTGGGTTGTAAGCCCAATGCCCAACACTCTTCCTTTACCCAGGCTTGGGACCGGCAAGTGGCCTCAATGAGACCACCAGGCTGAGTTGGCAAACCCTGCCAGCAAATATAAACGAAGGAAGGAAGCAAGTAAAAGTGAAGATAGCAGAAATAGGGCCTGCGCAAGAAAAAGAAGGCAGGAAAAAAGTGTTCAAAAAAGAGCAGAAAAAGAGCTTCATAATTTATTATAAATAAATCTGCATACTGTGACATGTGCTTGATACATAATGCAGCTTTTTTGAGGGAGTCAAAAACAAGAGGTAAGATGTAATTTATGTTTTGTCCATAATTTCATTCATCAATTTGCATATATAACAAACCTGAATTTTGTCACAATATTTTGTTCATTGATGCGAGACCTATTGTTGTGGATTTGACCTTAGTTTGGTATTAAGCTATTCAACTATTCTAACATTTTGTGACATTGATATTATAAGGTATGGTGGTTAGTGCACTTTAATTAATGTTTACATTAAGTTTATCACATGCATACAAATTGAATTTAGGTTATACATGATACATTCTATCTTTCATCAGTATTTCAATTTTGCAAAATGGATTTTCTCCATCCATGGATTTTCTCCATCCATGGATTTTCTCCATCCATGGACTTTCTCCATCAAAAGACATAAGGTCAAAATGTATGTATTAAAAATATTTTAAATTTTTGACGTACAATAGTTGTGAGTTCAGTGCTTTCTCAAGAGGTTGCATAGACTGCTCAGCTTCCGCATTTCCATGCGAGCAGGGTGTGGAGAATTCAGGTCTAATGCTCTGGGCTTCTAAATATCTTCTGTACTCTTTGCTATTGTATGGTGGTCCATTGTCCGATTTAATTACCATGAGAAAGCCATGCGTTGTGAAGATCTTGTCCAGCTTTGGAATTAAGGTAGAGGTTTTTGTTTATCTCACAATCTCAACTTCCAGAAATCTGGAATACCTGTCTATAATTACGAAGTCTGTATGCACTACTTCGAATTGTCTCTTGAGCATCTTTGTTTTGCCCAAAAATTCTGGCAGTAGTTGTTTGGGAACCATACTTTTTCACACAGCAATGCCTTGGTTTTCAATAGACCGAGGTGTGTATCATGAGCAATATCAATAGCTCACTGCTGCAGGGAGTATGGAATAACAATGCAAGTTCCATGAAAGACTAAACCCTGTGACGTAACTGTCAGTTCATCCTTGATTGGTTTATATGGTTTTACGAAATCACAGTCTCATTAATCTAGAAGCAGCTCTAAGTCCTTGTAATGATCTATCCAAGCTTGTAGCTATGACAATTTTGTCCATAGCCATGGCTTTTAGGTACACTACTTGACACAATGAAGTTCACATACTTGTGCCTTGAAAGTTAATTTGCAGGGTTGGTTGCCCCTGGTTTGTACACATTTTTGAATGTGTATGGTTGCAAAGTTGGTACACATTTTTGAATGGTAGCGCGTCTTTACTGCTTTAACAGCTCTACTTGCGTATGATATTATTTTATCTTAATCTCGCCCATGTGTCCTTGGAGATAAAATTGCTGACATCCCAACAGGGCTTGCGTCAACAGGTACAAACATATCTTTTTGCATGTCAAAATATGCCATACATTGGGCAGATGTTAATGCATTACTTAACAGGTCAAATGCTTTCTGATGAGAGTCTGTTCATGTGAATGGTCAATTCATGTAAGGGTGTCCTTATAATGGCAAATTGTCTTAAATGTCCTTATATGGCTACATAATATATCACTTTTTTTCTATTTCTTTCTAATTCTATCCTGTTGGCATTGACACAACATTCAATCTTGACTAATTTTTTTTTTACCTACTGTGTACATAACAAGAGTCTTACTTGTCAGAATGCCAATAATAATAAATCTCCAACATTGGTTGGGGATGCACTAATCCACATGAGCCAAAGCTACAGTGATAACAGAGTTTGTGACCTTAAGTGTATAGTGTTTTCACGAGCTCAAATCCAATATAGACTCTTCGATAATATATTATGAACTAAACTAGTACAAATGCTCACCAGTTATATATACAATATTTGCATATGTAAATTATATTTCTTTAATTACTTACTAATAACCTAATAACTATACTACATCCCTCCTTATCTTTAAACTTACAAACAACTAACTTTTTTTTTTTTAAATCCTAAATAAGCAATTAAGTAGAATGTTCATTAAAGGTTCATTTTTTTCTAATTTAATTTAGACTGTTGCACTAAAGTTTTTCCTAAATGATTAGACTATTTTTTTTTTCTTTTTAGCGTTTCTAATACCTGATATAATCATTATACTTAGCAGGCGGTTTTCTCTGTCTCGATGACCGTCTTAATGTTTGTTCACTAATTCCTTCATTATCTACAACTACTGACGTTGTTTCCAAAGTAGGTGGTGGTGGTGTTGATGTTGGAATTATTTCTTTTGGAAACTCCTCAGGTTCTTGATCTGGTGGTTCACTCTTCATGAGGTGTTGTGGATTCACTTTAAAGTGCGACGAATTTCGAGTTACTGACTTTAACTTGTTATAAGCTGTTACCATCGTTCCTTTCGTATTCTTCACTACAAGCGGATTTGGATTGAACGGAGGACTCAGCTTGTTCTTCTTAGGTTGTTTAACTAAGACCACGTCTCCTGGTTTGATTTTATGTTCTCTAGCATTTTTTTTCTTGTCTGCGTAATTCTTCATTGCAGACTTGCTACTCGCATCCTTTTGCTTGATATCTTGAGTAGTCTTTGGATACTTTATAAAACTTGATTCGGGTAAACCTGTTTTCAGTTTTCTCTGATTGAGGGCTTCACTTGGGGATATGTTCGTAGAGGTATGAGGGGTAGCTCCGTATTGTCGAAGAAATTTCCAAAGTTCTTGTTTCCAATTTTTTCCTTCGACACAAGAAGACTTTACACACTTTCCTAAAGTTCTCATGAACCGTTCTACTTCGGCATTCACTTTCGGCCAGTATGGAGTAATTCGTCTGTGTTGAAAACCAAGGTGATCTGCAAATTTTTTAAACTCTGAACTGCTGAATGGTGGGCCGTTGTCACTTTTTACAACATCAGGAATACCTTGTCTTGCGAAGATTGCGTCCAGTTTAGGAATCACGGCCCTGGCAGAAGTTGATGTAAGGATCTTCACTTCTGGAAAACGGCTATACTCGTCTATTACTACCATCAGATAATCGCCAGAAGGGAACTGCCCAGTGAAATCCACAGCAACTTCTTTCCACGGACCAGCAGGTAACTCTGTCATTCATTGAGGATCTTGCGCAATAGAATTCCCCAATGAAACTTGACACGGAAGACAGCTACTTATTTTGTCCTCCACGATTTTATCGATCCCTGGGAACCACGCCTTTTCTCTTAGTAATCTTTTGGTTTTTACGACACCTTGATGTCCTATATGTGCTAATTCAACTGCTTTGTCTTGCAGCGAGCTTGGAATCACTAAACGATGTCCTCTCAGGATAGTCCCATTGTGTACTAATAACTCATCTTTTACATTTATGTAATCTTTAACTTCCAGATCTAACCATTGTCCACTTTCAATGGCGGAAGCTAAAACTTGCATCGTTGAATCATGTTGGGTTTCCCTCTGAACTTCTTGCAATGTCATTGCGTTCGGGACAGCATTGTTACAAACATAATTGACGTATTCGTCTGCGATATTAGGAGCTAGAAACTCTGCAGCTGGATGTCGACTCATGAAATCAGCAGGATTCTTTTCATCTTTCCCAGGTCGATAGACAAACCCACAGTTGTAAGGCATGAGTCTCAATTTCCACCTTTCGATTTGAGCTGAAAGTGGTTTGCTGCTGTTTACTATACCAAGTAATGGCTTGTGATCTGTGATGATAGAAAAAACCCGACCGTACACATACAGATGAAAATGTTCAGCAGACCAAACAGCTGCAAGCATTTCCCGTTCTATTTGAGAATATCTCTTCTCTACTTCACTCAAAGCACGGCTGGTGTAGCTGAAAACTTTGCCATCTTGGATCAGCATCCCTGCAAGTCCAACAGGGCTGGCATCTGTAATGATTTCAAACTCCTTGCGAGGATCAAAATAGGTCATAACCCGACTTCCGATGAGTTCACTCGTCAATCGATCGAGAGCTTTCTGTTGATCTTTTCCCCACATCCACTTTGCATCTTTCTTGGTAAGGTCTCGCAACGGCGCAGTAATTGTAGCGTAATCTGGTATGAAACGTGAGACGTATTGCACCATTCCAAGAAGTGATCGAACTTCATTTACATTCTGAGGCGGTTGCATACACTTGACGGCGTCAACTTTAACCGGATCTGGCTTGACTCCCTTAGCGGTGAACACGTGACCATAGAACTTGATTTCACGTTGTGAGAAAGCACACTTCTCTTTGTTCAGGCGGATATTCACATCGTTCAGTCGACGAAGAACACCATGTAGATTCCGATCATGTTCTTCCTGATACTTCCCATAGACAACAATGTCATCCGAAATATTTTTTTCATCCCGGAAGATCAATGAGCAATTCTTCTATTGCATTCTGGAAAATCTCTGCTGCAGCATTGATCCCAAAAAGAAGGCGCTTGTATCTTCTTAACCCAACATGTGTGGAGAACGTAGTTATATAACGACTTTCGGGAGACAATTTGAATTGATGATATCCTGACGAGAGATCCAACTTGCTGAAGACTGTCGCACCATTCAACTCAGCAGCAAGATCATCGAACGTGGGCATAACATGCTTCTCTCGCTTAACAGCTCGATTTTGCTTCACGCATGTCAACGCAAATTCGTACTTCCCCAGATGGTTTAGGTACTACTACAATTGGGCTAACCCACGGCGTTGGACCCTCGACTTTCTCTATAATATCTAATTTCTCTAATCTTTCCAACTCTTTCTCAACATCTTTCCGAACAGAAAATGGAATTCTGCGATGGGGTTGTCGTTTAGGGGTAATGGAAGGGTCGATATGTAGCTTAATTGTCCGTCCTCTTATCTTTCCAATTCCACCAAACAGGCTAGGAAAACCTTTTATAGGACAAGAATTTTGGTCTCCATCAACAGAGTTCACTGCCATTTGAAGTAGGTTAAGCTGCTTTGCGGTGGCATAACTCAGCAGATTTCCTGTATTTCCTTTGACAACATGTAATTGGGCTTTTGTAGATGCTGACTGCTAGTGTTTTCACAAGCTCAAATCCAATATAGATTCTTCGATAATATATTATGAACTAAACTAGTACAAATGCTCACCAGTTATATATACAATATTTGCATATGTAAATTATATTTCTTTAATTACTTACTAATAACCTAATAACTATACTACAAAGTGTGTTGTTATCGATGATAAAACCTGTCTGATTAAAACAGTTAACATATTTCATCCTCAAATGCCCCTTTTGCATTGCTGTCCCCATTTTCGAGAAAACTGTGTGGAGAAACTTAAGTCTCTTGGGATTAAAGATGATGAGCAATGCTACTTGACTCGATGCATTTTTTAATCATTTGTTGAAGACGTCTATCACAAAGGTTTATTAGATATACCTGATGCTGAAACCTTTAATGTCCTCTCTACTCATGTCTCTTGAGAAGGAGATGAACAAAATAGAACAAGCTATCTGACCTCTTGGAAGCTTACCTCAGTTTTACCCCTGGCTAAAAAAGCATGATCTTATGATGAAGAGTTCGCTAACAGAAGAAACAAGACAAAATGCTGGATTAAATAGGGTGAAAACACAGGGTTGTAGAAAAATCATACAATGGTTTGAAATTCATTTCTATTAACAAAAAAGTTGTCAGTCTGGTCTCTTATCGCAGGATTTGAGGTTTTTGTTGACGTTTTGATCGCATCGAAAAAAATCTCTCAAAAATACACATGCAATAGGGCGAGAGGATAAAGTCTATAGGTGCAACTTTGTATTTTATCAAGGTGGAATACAAGTTTGATTACCAAAGAATTTGGTTGACATGAAATAGAGCAAGCTTTACAACATTTGCTGCCTAGATTTTGCACAGATGCCTTTGAAATGAATGACTCATCCACCTAAAAAAAAAAATAACGACTACAACATAGAAGGGTGACTTATAAAAGTTGGATTGCATTTTTAAATCTCACCTCGTATTTATTGCATAATTAAAAGTACACTTCAGGCGGCAAGCAGCACTTGTATAATCTACAATTATACTTCAAAATACTTGGCGTGATTTAACAATCCATCTTAAAAGCCTTATCATGTGTTACCTGACTGCCCTAGCCGGAGCAGTATAAGCTGTGGGTGATAGTAAAATTTGATAAAAGTATTTTCTTGAGACCAGATCTGCAAATTGCAAAATCCAGTTCTGTTGGTCTTGCAAACAGAGCGGAAATCGACTCATAGCTTACATAGAATGGCTAATCAATTCAGGCAGTAATTCTGGCCCCACTACATTACTATTACCTCCAGCAAGCCATGAATTGTCTTGAAAATACAGAAATCTTATATGAAGCTCTGGTCAACCTAGATTCAAAGGCCCTTCAGGAGGTCCAGTGGTGGAAAAACCCCAGTCCAACAATCAACAGATCTAACAATACAAACCAATACATCCTTCCGGAGGTGGAGTGTCAACAGAGGGGAGATGGTCGCTGTAAGAAAGCACTCTTCACATAAACTGTCTAGAGTGCCTAGCAGTCAAATATTTTACCAAATCCAGGGCATCAGCACAAGTACTCCTGCTAATGGACAATATCACAGCAGTGACCTATATAAACAAAATTGGGGCAACCACTCTCACCTTCTGTCCCAACTAGCCAGGAATCTATGGGACTGGTGTCTCAGTCCAAATGTAATGCTCTCAGCCCAGCATATTCCAGGGAGACAAAACATACAGGCCTACCAAGAGTGAGGAGTATTCCTAGACTGCAGAGATTGGAAACTGAACCAAACTATTTTCAACAGCATGTATCAAAAGTGGGGACCTCTGGACAGCAACCTTTTCGCATCCTGCCTGACTTTTCAAATGTGCTGGTACCACCAGTTTGGCCAACCCAAGTTTGGTACCCTCTCTTACTGGAACTGGGCATAGACTTCACTAGGGGCAAGAACTGTTCATCAACTGCAGCTAGCTGGGTGGCTACTGTCGACAGTGGCTACAAAACAAGAGGAATTTTGACCAAACTAGAGAAATTCTCTTGGTGGCCTGGAGAAGAAACAGCAATAGCTCCTACTCCTCTGCATGAAACAAGTGGAGTAGCTAGTGTGTTAAAAGCTCACTATCAATCCCCTTTCACCATCTATGAATAACATCTTAGATTTTTTCACAGCACAGTTTCATGAAGGGAGAGAATACTGGACTAGGTCCGGTTAGGTTACTGGTCTGCACTCTCAGCAATTTTACCCCTTGCAGATGGCCACAAAGTGGGAGTAGATTACCCCCCCCCCTTCCATATAGCAACAAAATCACGCACTGCGTGATCCCCACTCGAGATGTCGAAAACTGTTGGATTGTTCTGAAGATATGCGTGGTCTCCACGCAGGGTGAGAGTGTGACGTTGTTAAACCATAATTAAGTACACAGTAAGGATTTGCGAGAAAAATATTTTATTTGTCAGGTTATACACATTTAGTAAGTCAAAATTTTAATAGTATGTTTCTTTCCATAGCATAAGAACTGTTTATTTTAAAAGTTAGTTTTCTATGTATATGTTGTGCGATGCTTCCCCACTGTTAGTTTATACTTTAATTTTTATTTCATCGTACCATGTGTCAATATGTCCATAACGATTACACAACTGCCAAATTATTTCCATACATCAATTTTCATGTTAACAAGACAAGAGCATCCATGACTTTGTTTGTCAACGCGTGCCAAATCGTTCTAATAAACCAGCCTTTGCTTGTCAATGTTTGACATTCATCCCAGATAGGTATTGCCTTTTGCCTTTTCCCTTCAAAATATTGGCACTTTCTGCAACTTGATTATCCCTTTCAACCTATTTTCTCAAAGCGACAAGGTTTTAAACAGGGATTTCATATAGCAGATGGTATAGGACAATGGCAAGGGTCATTAAGGCCGGCATAATTGAATATATGACTGAACACATTGTCAGTTGATGACTTTGTCCAAACGCGATTATGCATACATTACTGGTAATAGGTTTTAATGACAGGATGAACCTGAACATGTTCGTTTCCAAACAAAGGGCAGCGAGTGCAGGATTGTCAGCGAGTGCAGACGTGTCTCGTAGAGCTCCTACAATCTAATCAAATTATATACTGAGAAGCTAATTTCCACTATGTAACTTGTACATGTGGCTATATTAAGATGCACATTAATAATATTTCGTGATTAAAGAATATCAAAATGCCAGTTACAAGACAAACGACATATCACCCTGATGAATTTCGAGCAGACATGAAGGAAGCTATACAAAGTGAGCTGCACCAATTTTTCAAATCAACTGACTTTAAGACGATTCTATCTGAAGCAGTAAATACTCTCATCGAACAGTCCGTCCAACAAGCTACATTTCCTCTTCTAAAGCGAATTGAAGCACTGGAGACAAGAGTTAACAAATGTCACGATAAAAGCGAATGAAAATGAGCAATATTTAAGAAAATACAACCTACGAATTATAGGGTTGAACGAAACCGATGGTGAAGATTGCGTTAAAGAGGTAGTTCAGTTTGTTGAGGAAAAGCTGCATCTAAACATCATTCACAAGGAAATTGATCGCGCACATCGTCTTGGCCCAAAGATTTCAACCCAGTCAAGACCGCTAATTGTTAAATTTAAATCATACAGTACAAAGGCCGCAATTTGTAAACGACGAAAAGATCTGAAAGGCACACAGTTTTATCTAAATGAAGACCTGACCAAGTACAACGTCAGTTTGTTCAAATACGCTTCTGAACATAACACTTATATTAAATCTGTCTGGACGACGGATGGTAAGGTATTAGTTCGTAATAAAGATGACAAAATAATTCGAATTCATCACATGGGTGATTTTGAAAAATTTAACTTGGTTTAATTAAACCCATTACAAATGGCTATTTCAATATGAGGACTGTCTTGTAAACTAGCATTATTATAATCGCACCTATAGTCCTACCCATTATATTTATAATACTTGTTCTTAACATTCTAACTTTATCTATCTTTGTTCTGGAAGAACGTTATTTAGATTCCTCTTGTGTGGTTCTTGTGTGTAATATTATAATAATAAGTGGTTTTCGAGCAGCTGTGCAGACTGGTAAGTTTTATACTATGCCCAATGGAGGTTAGCATTGTTGTTTATAGAGCAGCTATCGGTATGTTTAATAATAGAAAATGCCGTTTTAATATAAAACCCAGGGTATTTCAATCTTGGACGAGACAGGGATGGGGTCTATGTAAATTGTTTGTAATCCTTTTATCAATTTTGTTAATAATGGCAGGAGATATCGAATTAAATCCTGGCCCAAAAATATCATGTTTATTAATTGGACATATAAACGCTAGAAGTCTAGCTAACGAAGAGAAATTTGAAGAAATTTCCTCATTTATTTTAGATAAGAGTTTTGATCTATTTGCGGTATCTGAAACTTGGCTCCACAATAACAGTTCTGACGAACATTTGCACATTCCAGGCTATTACTCTATCATTAGAAAAGACAGGTCTGGTATGCGTGGTGGCGGTGTAGCTTTGTATATAGCACAATCACTTGCATTCAAAAGACAGAATGACCTGGAAAATATAGATTTAGACTTACTTTGGGTTGAAATTAAAATGAATGGAGTAACTTTGTTGTGTGGGGTGTGTTATAGACCACCTAATAACTCTCTGGAAGAAACCACATTTTTCTTGGACGCCCTCCAGACAGTTATTGATAAAATCCGATTAAACCAACATTTACCTATGATGATTGTAGGCGATCTAAATGCCCATTATGACCGAAATAAATTACTAAGTACCACGTTTGGTAACCGTTTTTATCAATGGCTCGAGTGCAATGCCCTGTCTCAGATAATCGATGAACCAACTCGTGTGACATACAACACAGCCACAATATTAGACGTTATAATTACTAATTGCCCTAGATATTTTGTGCATCAAGGAACGTTTAGTCCACCCACGAACTGCGATCATTCCTACATCTACGCAAAAATGAGTTTTACACATTCTAAACCAAAAGCTTTCAAAAGACACATATGGGATTTTGCCAACATTAACATGACAATGCTAAATGAGGATCTTTCGAATATCAATTGGGAAAATTGTATTAGAGATTCTACTCAGATTGATAATGTTTATGGAAATTGGTTTCGGCATTTTCGATTTATAATTGATAATTACATCCCAAATAAAATAGTTGTAATACGACCTCGGGATAAACCTTGGATGATATCGGCGGTACGAACTGCAATTCGAAAAAGAAACAGATTATTAAAACAATTTAGTAAAAGGAAAACTGACTTCCTTTGGCGCCGTTACAAAAATCAGAGAAATTATACAATGTGGTTAATCCGTGAAGCTAAAACTTCGTATTATCGTAAACTAAATAATAAATTATCAGATCCCTCGTTAGGTCCAAAGAAGTGGTGGAGTTATATTAAATCCACTCTTAATCATAAAAATAATTATACATCTATACCACCTATTAGAAAGGGCGCTGAGTTTGTTTTTCACCCGAAAGAAAAAGCGGACTTATTCAATGATTACTTTGTTAATCAGTCTAGAATTAACGATAGTAATTGTCAGTTACCGTTATTAACTTATTTCCAGTCTGATAAAACATTATCAATAATTCATACAACAGAACAAGAAGTTCTGATGTTACTGGAGAGGGTCGATATTACAAAAGCTTGTGGTCCTGACGGTATTGGAAACAAGATCCTCAAACTATGCAGTAGTGGCATTCATAAATCATTTACAAATTTTCTTAATCTAAGCTTTCAAAAAGGAGAATATCCTACTGAATGGAAAAGAGCTAATGTCAGTCCTATATACCAAAAAGACGACAGCCAATATAAAGAGAATTACCGTCCCATATCTCTTCTTCCATCTATTTCAAAAATATCAGAAAAAATCGTATTTGCAAGGCTGTATGAATTTTTATTAGAAATACATTTCCTTAGCGATTTTCAGTCTGGATTCGGACCTGGGGATAGTACTGTTAACCAATTAACCTATATTGTTCATGTAATTTACCAAGCCTTGGATATGGGGAAAGAAGTACGTATGGTTTTTCTTGATTTCACTAAAGCATTTGATCGGGTATGGCGGGTATGGCATAAGGGTTTACTCTATAAATTGCAAACTCTTGGGCTGAAAGACCCTCTTCTAAGTTGGTTTCGTAGTTATTTAACAGACCGAAAACAAAGAGTTGTTATCGATGGGCAGACTTCAGGTTGGTTAAACACTGAAGCTGGTGTCCCACAGGGATCAGTGCTCGGGCCATTACTTTTTCTTATATATATTAACGATATTGGTGTAGATATTTTATCTAACTGTTTTCTTTACGCTGACGACACATCTCTATTTGACATAACTGACGACCCAATAAGTTCTTCCTTAAAATTAAATTCGGATCTTAATAAAATTAGTCAGTGGTGTAAACAGTGGCTAATGGAGATGAATCCTTCTAAATGTGAAAGTATTACATTTTCAAAAAAACTTTATGGACAAGTACATCCCACACTATATTTAAATGGGAATACTTTACGAGAAGTTAATTTTCATACTCATCTAGGGCTGAAATTTACGTCAAATTTTACATGGAATTACCATATTCAAAGTATACACAAAAAAGCTAGCAAGATGATAAATCTCTTAAAAAGTGTAAAATATAAGCTTCATAGATCAACCCTTATATCATTATATAAAAGTCTTATTAGACCTCTGATGGAATATGCTGACGTCATTTGGGACGGATGTACTGAAAGCGAAGCAAATCTTTTAGAAGGAATACAGAACGAATCGGCTCGTATAGTTACAGGAGCAATGAAAGGAACAAATAGGGTACGATTATTGAACGAATTATGCTGGGAAGATCTAAAAACTAGAAGATTTTTACATAAATTATCGTTGCTTTATAAAATAATAAACTGCCTCACTCCACCTTACCTTCGCGATCTTTTACCTCCATATGTCCATCAGAGATCTGATTATCATCTTAGATCTAATGAAAATTTTACTTATATTCCTACTAGTACCGAATATTTTAAAAAATCTTTTTTCCCGTCAGCAACTGCAGCCTGGAACGGGCTTGATAAAAACTTGTGCAATGTGGAACCATTATCACTATTCAAAAGTAAACTACGTAATACATTTCATGGAATGCAATATAACACTCTCTATAATACCTCGTTAAATCGATTCAGTTCAATATTACATAGCAGACTTCGTCTAGGTCACTGTGCGTTGAATTCCTATTTATATAGTATTAATTGTCCAATTTCTCCATATTGTAAATGTAGATGGGGAAATAGTTTGAATCAATTAAACACTTCTTTCTGCACTGTCCTCGATATGCTGCTCAGCGACAATGCTTACTTTCCTCGTCTGCACAGTTGCTCCACGCCACCTGGTTAAGTTTATCGGAGGATCAGATAGTTGAAACATTACTATTTGGTTCAGAAACGCTTGGTTATGAAGAAAATCAAATTTTGATGCGGAATGTTCAACTGTATATCCTTCAAACCAAGAGATTCACCAGTTTAATTGAATATTAATATGTAATAATTTATCTCTAGATTTTGAAATCTCTTCTCAGAGCTAACTATATTCTTTCTCTTTATTAATCATCCTATATTTGTGTATCTTTTATTTAAACACAATGTACTCCTTAGTTCTAAATAATTCAACATGATCTCCCTCAATGAGCCTAGCTCTTGGAGAAAATGTTGAGAATTTAAATATGTTTAAATAAAAAAAAAACAAAGGGTAGCTTGCACATAAATATTGCACATTGAACAGATATTGCCCAAGAAAACACAGCAATGGAGTGCTTACATGGAGTGCCTGCAAACGCAATCTCTATGAAGAAAGGGAAGTTTTGGGTTTGCAACAAGAACAACCATAAATGCTGTGAATTATTTTGCCCTGAACAAGATCGTTCGGTATTTAATACGGCTAAGATGATGTGGAGGGCGAATGGTGCGATTCATCCGCTGTGTGACACTCACCAAAAACCGACCAAGATAAAAGTTGTGAAGGATCTAAGTAAACGTAACTTTGGGAGACCATTTTTCTCGAGAACAGTTGGTTTTTACCGAAGATATGCGTGGCCTCCACGCGAGATGATGTGCGCACAAGTGTGTTATTGCAACATAGCTTACACATGGAATGACTTGCGTGGGATGGCTGTGCACTCACACTATACATAATTATAGATACAAATTAAGGATTTGCAAGGAAAATATTTTATTAGAAACATCTGATCACGTCTTAGCATACAGTCAGTGACTTCTATCCATGTGTAGGAAGTGTGCACATTTATATACTCGATTGGTTCTTTGACATTCATATGGTAACCGTATTTCTTGTGTCGCATAGGTGGTTTGTTTAAATAAACACAGAACACTTTACCTTTCCCTTCGAAGTTATGATTGCATTTTGGAATGTCTTCCATAAGCAAGAGTTTGTGTTGACAAGCCCAGTCATGCAGCAATCAGGCCATCAGGCCTAATAGTGCCATACAAGGCCATATATAGGACCCAAACGGGCCTCATAAATGCTCATGAGCAGATGCTCATCTGCTCAATGAGATATTTCAGGCCCAAACTCCTCAAAGGGAGGAAAAAGGGGTATGGCGAATATATTGGTGTTATTATGGACAACGCGTTGCTTGGAGCATAAGTTAAGACACAGATTAACTCTTGTAACAATATAATTAAGTAGAACAATTTTACAAATATTTGAAACATTCTGTCCGGCCACTACACTGTTTTCTTGTTTAGATCGTTTGACTTTGTCTTCCGTAAGCAAGAGTTTGCGTTGACAAGCCCGGACCTGTCGGGCCTAATAGGGCGCAAACAGACCTAATAAAATACCTGACCCATGAAAAAATGAGCCAATTATTATCAGGAATTTGTTGAGCAATCATCTAAATATGGGTCACACATGTGGGAACTGTCCTGTGTTTGGCTGTGGTTGTACAAATTTAGCAAGGTTAGCAAATCATCTCGGCCAAGTACAAGGTATGGGCACACAGGAACACAAGAAATGGTTAAATTGGAGTAAGACAGGAATATGTGTACCTCAACAGAGTAAAGAACCAAAGGAATTCAATATGGAGGAGTGTCTGGATAATTTATTAGAGTGCTAAGAAGAGATGGAGAGAAACTTTAATGTTTACTTAAGCATTTATGGTTGTTCTTGTTGCAAACCCAAAACTTCCCTTTTTTCGTAGAAATCGTGTTTGCAGGCAATTCCATGCAGTGAACTCTATATATATGGAAGGCTCGCTCTAGTACATTGTGTAATCAGAAAGTGAAGCCAAACATGGCGGATCATGAAGCTGCTTGGGTACCGAACCAGACCTCTATGCACAAGCTGTTAAAATTCAAAATGGCGGCAACATGTAGGAGTTGAACTCGGTCAGTTTTGTAAACACAACACAAATATACGGCATAAGTTACCTCTCTAGAAACAATAATATTGCCATGTAAGGTAGTAACAAATTGTATGTATTCATTTTTAAAAACTTCGTAATTTTAAAACTTTGTAACGTCCGAAAAATTAGCTTTTTTATTTTTTGTCATAGTTTTATAATTTGTGTTTTTAATTTCCACGTGTGGTCGTGCATTTTATGCTTTGTGGGGGACTGGTTCGGTACCCAAGCAGCCTTCATGATCTGCCATGTTTGGCTTCACACTTTGAACTGGAGCAAGCCTTCCATATATATAGAGTTCACTGATTCCATGTAAGCAATCCATTGCTGTGTTTTCTCGGGCAATATCTGTTCGATGTGCGATATTTATGTGCAAGCTACCCTTTGTTTGGAGGCGAACATGTTAAGGTTTGTCCTGTCACTAAAACCTATTACCAGTAATGTATGCATAAATGCGTTTGGACAAAGTCATCAACTGACAATGTGTTCAGTCATATGAAATGCCTGTTTAAAACCTTGTCGCTTTGAGAAAATCAGTTGATAGAGATAATCAAATTGCAGAAAGTGCCAATATTTTGAAGGGAAAAGGCAAAAGAAAGATGGATACCTATCTGGGATGAAAGTCAAACATTTACAAGCAAAGGCCGGTTTGGTGATGATTTGGCGCGCGTCAACAAACATTATGAAGTCATGGATGCTCTTGTCTTGTTAACATGAAATAAAAATTAAAGTATAAACTAACAGTGGGGAAGCATCGCACAAGATATACATAGAAAATGAACTTTTAAAATCAACAGTCCTAATGCTATGGAAAGAAATAAACTATTAAAATGTTGACATACTAAATGTGTATAACCTGACAAATGAAATATTTTTCTTGCAAATCCTTACTGTGTACTTAATTACGGTTTAATAACATCAACTTGTCCTGGGTGCTTCCAACAGCAATGTGTTCATGAACAAGTGCTCTGTTACTAGTCTCTTTAATAGTTGGCATAGTGGGTAGTATATCCTGTTTTGAAATATTTATATCCCACACCTCTCCTTTTTTTTGTGATTTAATTGTTTACCAGGTACCTTTCAATTAATATCCCAAACCCTTCCTGACATCACAAATTGTACATTTTGTTCTATAGGCATGAACAACAGAAACACAAGTTGATAATTGATGGCAAGGGTGATGAAGATAGAGATGAATTTGGATACTATAAATGTCATGGTCTGAACTGTTTCCTTGTGTTTGTAAGTGACGCAACAAGAAAAAGGTATACGTATGACAGATCATTTGTAAATTAAGTATTGAAGTACAACATCTGAGAGCATCAGGGAATCAGCCGCTCAGGGCAATGGGTGCAATATAATTCATAGCTAAAAGGGCATGTTTTCCACAAAAAGGCACACAAAAGAATTCATCCGACAAGATAGAATTAAAGTGAACTAGTGAACTAAATATTTATTAAAACCAATTAACCTGGTCTGGCTGTCCTCTACACAGTATTAATCTCCTAATTTGACACTGACAGTCAAATGTATTTTCCACCCAAAAAGGTTGAATATCAAAATGCTAAATATCTATTACTAATAATGCTACAATAAATGGTCTACCACTATTATAGACAATAATTACAGTAGCTCAGACAATGAAAATGCAATATTAATATAATATCAATATTAATATCAATATTAATGTTAGCCCATGTCTAGTTTATGGTAACAAAGTTTTTCTCATTAATTCAATTTATAAGATTAGATTAAGGTAACAAATCGATAGTCTTGTTTTAAATCACATAGGCACGAAAAGAACAAACATATAGAAGAACAGATTGGGACAAGCGATGTTCCCATTGAACAATGTTCTGAAAGTAATAAGACTGACAGTGACTACACTTTCAACTACCACAATGCCAGACTACAATTTGGGTTGGTTTTGATGGACATTGTTGATGCAATAAAAGAAGGTGATGGCATTCGCTTGACAAGGTGCTATAAATTAGTGCTGTTGTTTGCCTATAAATTCCGGCATACTAAATATGCATATGGAATTTTACTGTATTTCGTTCAAATTAATGCAGTACTCTCAGAGGAAGATTCATATAATTTGACAAGAAATAGATTTTTCAACATTAGTGGGAAAATTGGTACAAATATACCTCTAGACCTACACATGGAACACCTCAATCTTCTGTTGAAACGGCTATCTAAAGGAATGGGTGGAAATGTTACAACAAAGTCACTGCAACGGGCAGCCAGGTCAGTTGTTCCATTAAGCAATGTGATTCAAGGAGTATACAGAGATTGCTCAAAGGTGAAAAAGAGTGGCTGTCACAAGAACAAGGATGTGGAAGATGCCCTTAGAATAATTATAAATGACCTGCTACAAGGAAAAGTGTTTAAAAAAGCAAATGGAAGAGCTGGATACCCATCCTTCCCTAAATTTCCTTCAAACATTCTTGATATTGATTACAGAGATTTCTTTCAATGGATAAAAGGACATTTAAACCATTGGAAAGCAATTTATGAAACAACTAAAACATAGCATTATACTTTGAAGTTTAATAATATTGAAAACATGTACAAATTATGTAATTCAAGTTATATGAACAGGTCAAGACTTACATAACAGGCGCATTAATTGTGCAAACTTGTGTCTACTATTCTTTATTAAAAATCTGATTCTTAGTTACTTTTTTATTTTTGAAATTAAAGATCAGTCCACTATTAAAAACATTTCTTTTACTGTAGTTGTTTTTACTAATTAAGCTTCTGTATCATCCGGTTCACCACCTGTGTCATTGTAATTAGATGTATTAGAATTTAAAAGAATTCCAGACATTAATGTGTTCAAATCAGAGAGATGTTGTTGTGAGTCAAAGGAATACAATTCAGATGGAATTACAACATCATCGAACATTTCATCGAACATTTCATCAATGACTTCTAGAATGATTATAGCAATCTTCAGAGATGGCACCACACAGTGTCCCATTAAATCATTGATGCTAAAAATTGTATCAACTTTACTTACAATTGTTTCTATGACCTCCTTAGAAAGACCATGTGTTGAAATCCCAGTTGGGTCAAACATTGCAAATTTAACTTGTGAAGACAATGTTTTTTGTACATCCATCAATGTATCCTTGATACATTGTCTTTCTTCTTCAGTAACATCGCGTCTTACAGAATGTGTAATGGCACTTTCTGGTATGTAATCAAAAGCAGGTATCACCTGAGAACAGCGCAATCCATCTGCACTGCATTTACATAGTTTATGACAAACATTGCAGCAGTCATGTAGTGGGGTCAGCTGACACACATTGTCATCAAAATCATGTAAAAATGATACACGGCAACACTGTTCTTGTGACTTTAATACTGCTTCTTTTATATCTTTTCCACATGATATGAGGTGTCATGGTACACTGTAACATGAAAAGCCTGTTTTCCATCTCTTCCTGCTCGACCAGCTTCCTGTAAATGACTGGTCAAGTCTCTAGATGGGCCATAATGTACCACATATTGTACATGGGGAAAGTCAACTCCCATACTCAGAGATGTTGAGGCTAAAACCAATCAAACTTTTCCACCTAACCCTTCAAAAGAACTGGTTATGCTCTCTTTATGTTGTACTGGAGTTTGAGAATAAAAAACACCTAATAAACAGCGATCATGTACTGGTTCATCACCATCTACAAAAACACCAGATCTTTCAAGTTTCAGCAAGAAGTGTGTCAACAAAGACACAATATCATTAACTGTCCGACAAAAAATAATTGTGAAAGGGGCTTCTCCTTTTTTTCCAGCAAAAGCGATACCAGCCAATTGAAACAATTCAGTTCCTTGTCTGCACGTAATACAGTAAATCTTATATTTTTTCTATTGGGGCTGACACCCACAGGCTCAACATGTTGCATACAAAGATACTTCATCAGTCGCTTTCGTATTTCCTTATTCGAAGTAGCTGTTAGGGCAAGGACAGGTGTTTGAGATTGCAGCAAAGACCTTAGTTCTGAAAGACGCCCAAAGGCCTCTTGAAATGCCATTTGTCCTTTCTTTTTAGTTCCCCTAAAATAATGAATGTTATGTTACAGTAGTCTGTACGTACAGTACCATGTATGCACTGTATGGCTGCTTAATTTTGAAATGATGATCAATAGGTTTTGACCAGTGGTAGAACTAGAAGGGTTAAAAGCCCAGTCGAATAAGCTTAGAGTTAGCAATTTTAATAATAACAACAGTGCCCAAACACGAACAGGTGATCTCACTGATATTGATTGATTTCCAGTGATACTGTATAAGTCGTCATATGCCCTCACCTAAATTTCAATCAACTTTGAAGTGGTTCAACTTCATATGCATTTTGATTTAACCTAAAGCTTATGAGAGTTGAGTAATATTTACAATGTAAATGTTAAGCTATTGTGTATTTGTGTTTAACACTGTCGTTAAATTTCGTTATTTAATCACTTCAAACTTGATTTATAGCATTGATTCCGAGAAGCACAGGACGATTTATAGGAATATTTTAATATTTTTTCAATTGGACACAGGCAGTCTCACTGACAATATTAAAATTTATGTAAAAAATCAACGCACCATGTTTCTACTGTATGTACTTCATCGACGACCAAAACTTTACATGTGTGTAGAGCATCTTGTGTGAGGCATTTCTTCCACTTCGAACTTAGCCATTGCTCTGCACTTCCATAGACAATATTAAACTTTCCCTGAGCGATGTCTTTGTCTGTTTGTTCATCTTCACCAATGACCGCTGCGTATGCATCTCCCATTGAATTCCTCATACTTGCAACTTGTTGCTGTCTGATGTACTGAAGAGGGCTTACAACAATGATGTTGAACTTCTTGTTTTCGCCTGTGCGTATTCGGTGCATGATTTGGAAAACACGTGGTAGCAACTGGTATATAAGGCTTTTGCCATAACCAGTCGGTAAAATAGCAAAAACGTCGGAACAATAGCACACGAGTCTTTTTATACATTCATGTTACTCTTGCTTAAGAGCCGAAATGCCTAAACATTCCAAAGCCAAACTTATTGCCTCTGAAAAATGCGAATTTTTGTTTGTAACAGTCACATTGGACGCCATTAGCACTTTCCCGAGTAAATCATAAATGTCCAGCTTGAGATGGAAACTGGAAACGTTCTCTCCAATCGTTTGTCTCAACCAATCAGAGCCAATACCAAAATTTGGTATAGTTGCACACCGTTTGAATCGCATTTGTATCAGGCCTTCATTTCTCTCGCCTGCCTGCCCGCCTCCCCTACGAAGGCCTGAAATTTCAGGTTAAGTGGAACCAGGAAATAAGACTGTATAACTCCTGTATTAAAGTAACTAAGATGGATACCAGTAAAACCAAAACTTTATTATCACAATGCAATAATGACTTTTAAATTAAATAAATTGCATGATACACTCGCTTTGTCTTACGCTTTGCCTTTGGAATTCGCACTTATATAGTTATATTGAATCTTCAATCCTGCGCAAACTATGACATGTCAATGTGCCCATACAGGACCACATCTTGTTAAACAGCGAAATAGCAGCGATGATTATTAAAATTGGACCAGAATCTATATGTATTAAATATATTCTTACCCCAATTCAATCTAAACTTAACCAAACAGCGTGAAAAGGACAGTTTATTTGTTCCTCTTGGATGAATTGCCATATCATGCAAGCGAAATTGAATCGCGCATCGGAAAATTAGCCAAAGCTGTGCAGCACAACTTTTGGGAGACAAGACTGGGATGTAGATAAATACGGGCTGATACAGATTTCAAATACTAGTATATTTTGCGCCATGACACTCTTGCAACAATGAAAAATTAAAACAAAACAAAAACAAAACAAAACTGATGCCAATTTTCAACTCCGTCGCTGATGCCAGAGTAATAAAGTTATAATGTTCTTGATCATTCGTCTCTTCTCAAGTGTTAGCAGACTTAATGAAATGAGCCTGTTTGTATACAATATAGCGAATGGTCTCTCATCATTGTATGTCTTCAACCAATACCCAGTGTTTAGCTGTGTAGGGTGACCATACGCTGGAGCAATACTCTATCTAACTAAGGTCATGGCAATGTGCAGTAAAGAAACCTTCTGGTTGAGACATAATCGACATCAACCCCAACATTCTGTTTGCTTTCGCAGTGATCACCTCAATAATTTCTTGCCCAGTTCAGGTCACTAGATACAGTCACATTGAGGTTCTTGAGACAAAGACATATTGCACAGTCAACACAAACTTGGTCATATGGCTACAGCGGTGGACTTTAGGAGCTGTCCTGGGATGCCATCTGGACCACATGTTTTATTGGGGTCCAGTATGAGGAGTATGGCTTCGACCAATTTGAGTTTGGATAATTGGTGGTCACCAAAAGATGAGGAAACTGGAGCTGTGGCAACAGAGCAATATAGGATTAACATGTAAAAAAAGCAAAATTAAAGGAAAATAAATACATAAAAATTTACTATTTCACAAATGAATGTAAAATGCACAGTGAAAATATAAGAAAATAAAAGGAAAGGAAGAAACACATTAAAATATTTTTCCAGGTGAAAAAAAACATAAAAAGCTAACATGTAGCTTTGAAAATGAACAAAAAACCTATAACAAACGACATGGGAAAACCAACATGCAATTTACATGTTGAAAATGCAATAACCTATCATTTTCATATGTCCAGTGTTCTCAATGCAACCACTATAATAAGGTAGCGGTATAGTTATTAGACCCATACTTCATCTTGTGGGGATATTTTGAAAAATCAATATGGCAGTTTTTAGTGCAAAGTTTCCAAGAAGTTTCAAAGAAACTTTGCAGTATTGTGATGAGTGGCAAAAATTCAAACGAGTCAGTAAGTCAGTCGATGAGTGGCAAAAATTCAAACGAGTCAGTCAGTCAGTCAGTCAGTCAGTCAGTCAGTCAGTCAGTCAGTCAGTCAGTCAGTCAGTCAGTCAGTCAGTCAGTCAGTCAGTCAGTCAGTCAGTCAGTCAGTCAGTCATAGTGTAAACTTTACGGGGGGTGTTGTGATATATGTTTGTTATGCTCTATTGTACTTATTCAGTGCTTTGAAGGTTATTTAATTAATTTCAGTTGTTTTATTTATGTAATCTTAATAAGGCTCACAAAAATCTTGAGGAATCTTTGTTGTTATTGTAAGTTTTAAAACATTCGTTTCTCGTATTGTCGGTATTGCGTAAAGGAAAATAACTTAAATTACCCCCCGGAACACCCGATGCGTTCTTTTGAAATGCAAAAAATGCGTATTGTGTTCTGGTAAAGTCTGATTCACGCAGTTGATATATTACGAAGGAGCGAGAAAGTGTTGTTTCCTAACATTTCACAGGTGATTTTTGAGTAAATCTTCGATAATCTACGGAATATTAGAAATTGTTCTATGCATCACGGGCATTCAATTTGATACCCATATTATTTTGAGGATATATTCATTGTACAGAGCTACAAAGGAGCGAGACGTTTTCAAATTTTAATGCTATATTTAAAAAACATTCCGTGTAAGTTGAGTATTTTTGTATGTATGTACCGATGCATTAATACGAGTTTGTCGTTGAGTTAAGTGCCAAGAGTAAACAGTATATTATTTATTAAATGAAAAATAGAATGGAGCAAGGCAGTGTTAATTTCAATTGTATAATATAAACACAATTCGGCTGTGAATTATGACAACTGAATCTGAGATTCTACGCGATACTGTTTATGGACATTTCAAATAAATACTATTAGAGGAAATTAGACGGCATATTCATTTTAAAGCGATTGTATAATGTGTTATATCACAGCCTCTGCTACATGCATACAGCATATGCATATGCTGATATGCATGTAGCATAACCTGTGATATATGTTACATGCTATATTTCAAATCAGGGTTGCCTCGTATTTCATTTATACGATCGATTTCTCCCATTGATGTATAGTAATAAATAGACCGCAAACACCGCCATTCGGTGGCTTGTCTACACATTACTATAGTCTATTATTACCAGCATTATGTCCAATCCATTTCTAGAAGCAAATCATACAATTTTGATATCATGGACTTGAAACATAACATATTCCATTATTTCATTTACTAATTATGATAAATATAGAAATGATTATAGGGTTCAGAGATTAACGTTGCAATAACAACCGCACGTGAACAACACGCTGCTAATATTCAATATGATTGGTTAGTGCATGAATGCCACGCAGTCAACATTTATCCTCAACACAAAGTGAAACATTGCATCAGATCAGTAGTGCGTTAACAACAAAACGAAGTAGGTGTGTGAAATGGCGTTAACGAAGAAAATACGTTCTGGGATTAAAGAAAAACTCTTGACTCGTCAGAGCTCAGTATTTAAACTAGGAAGACGAGGAGATAACCAATATGTTATCGCCAATCGCTTGACTTGCCAGCGAGCCTCATGTAATCGAGGAAAAAGGCAAGGAGATAGCCCATAGTCGGTGTAGATCACACAATAAATGTTTAAAACATGTCAAAAGACGAGATCGAGAGCCGTCTAGAATTCCCGTGAAAAAGCTAGTTCATTTGATGAGCAAAAATCGAAAAAGTAGGCGCATGATAAAACGGTTGATTAAACATTCTATTCCTAAGTCCTCTTGCTTTCACAATTTGCTTTCGACAAGATACTGAAAAGATGTCATTCAGCAACAAGCAAATGTTTTTTATGTGGAAATTTAAGAGGGTGTTTCATGCTAAATCTAAGAGTAAGAGAATACGAAGGGCTGTACGTAAACATTTGTTAATGCAAAACTTGTCAAGTGTAAAAATCAATATAAAGCGTGCTAGAACTAAAAAACACAAATTGCTTAAGAGGAAAAATAGTTAAAACTCGTATTATGGATGCTACTAAATGTAATATGCAAAAAATAAAGACATCTGCCAGAAATTTCTTATTTGTGTGTGGTGATGTAGAATTAAATCCGGGTCCCATAAATACTTCAAATATGTCAGTATTGACCACAAGACTAGCTCAAATAGGACGAAAGCCAGTGAATATTGGTGATGGTAACTGTTTATTTCGTAGTGTAAGCCACCAGCTTTACGGAACAGAGACTCATCATGTCCAAATAAGAGCTCATGCAATCCAACATTTAATACTTCGCCCAGAATATTTCATAGAGTCTAATACTGAACAATCATGGTCGCATTATTTACAGAATATGTCAAGACTAGGTTCTTGGGCAGACCATATTAGCATACAGGCAGTTGCAAATGCACATAATTTGAGGATTCATATTACAGAAACTGCACACAATTTTGCTGAAACTACAGTTGTTACCTCTATTTATGCTCAGTCTGGGGGAAATGTAAGAGATATCTACATCGGACATCTTGATGAACTACATTATGTTTCTACAACACCAATTCAACAATCTGCTTCTGAACAAATACGAAATCAGACAGCAACTGGTGAACAAAAACTATACCATCAAAATTCACAATCTAATAACAATGAAATTATCTCTGAAAAGCCAGTCTCCATGAATAATTCACAAAAGAGAAAAGAATATATGAAGGAATACATGAGGAAAAAAAGGTTGAACAACAAATTTAAAGAAAAAGACACTGTGAGAAAAAAATCATATAATAAGAAATACAAAAACACAAATTCTGAGAAAATAAAGGACTCTTGGCAAAAAGCAACTGCAACATACAGACAATCAAATACTGAGAAAATAAAAGAAATTGCTAAGATGGCCACTGCAACATACAGGCAATCAAATCCTGAGAAAGCAAAACAGAGTTTAAAGACATCCAATACAACATACAGACAATTAAATCCTGAAAAGGCAAAACAGAGTTTTAAAAAATCTACTGCAACATACAGACAATTAAATCCTGAAAAGGCAAAACAGAGGTTTAAGACATCCACTGCAACATACAGACAATTAAATCCTGAAAAGGCAAAACAGAGTTTTAAGACATCCACTGCAACATACAGGCAGTTAAATCCTGAGAAAGCAAAACAGAGTTTTAAGACATCCACTGCAACATACAGACAATTAAATCCTGAAAAGGCAAAACAGAGTTTTAAGACATCCACTGCAACATACAGACAATTAAATCATGAAAAGGCAAAACAGAGTTTTAAGACATCCACTGCAACATACAGACAATTAAATCCTGAAAAGGCAAAACAGAGTTTTAAGACATCCACTGCAACATACAGACAATTAAATTCCGAAAAGGCAAAACAGAGTTTAAAGACATCCACTGCAACATTCAGACAATTAAATCCTGAAAAAACAAAACAGAGTTTTAAGACATCCACTGCAACATACAGACAATCAAATCCTGAAAAAGCAAAGAAGAGTTTTAAGACATCTTCTGCAACATACAGGCGATTAAATCCTCAAAAAGTAAAACAGAGTTTAAAGACATCCATTGCAACATACAGACAATTAAATCCTGAAAAGGTTAAAGAAATAAACAAAACAACTACTGCAACATATAGAAAATTAAATCCTGAAAAGGTTGCAGAATCATCAAAATTGTCAAACACTATGTACAAGCAAAAGTATCCAGAAAGAGTTAAAGATACCCAGAAAAGACAATATGCTAAAAGAAAGTTAGATTGTAGTGAAAATGGAACAATGATTAATAAATACAAGAAAGTAGAAAATAATTTGAATGACAGTATAGCTGAGACTCCAGAGATACCTAGTAACTCTGATGATTCGAGACAACAAATTTACCTTACAAAGGCAATTGAGTTATTTCATAAGAACATAAGTGTGGGACCAGAATATATTTGTACCTGTTGTGATCAATTATGGTATAGATCATCTGTCAGTGAATGTAATGTTTATATATCTCTTGTTCAAAAAATATCTTTAATTTATGTCTAACTGGTGTGAGGAGTATTGATAACACTGAATGGTTATGTGGTACATGTCACTCAAACTTAAAAGTTGGTAAAATTCCAAGTTGTGCAAAAGCAAACAAAATGACCTTCCCAGAAAAGCCTGAGGTTTTAAAAAACTTAACACCTCTTGAAGAAAGACTAATTTCTCCAAGAATACCTTTCATGCAGGTACGGGAATTGCCTAGTGGAGGTCAATTAAGTATTCATGGAAATGTAGTTAATGTTCCTGCAGATGTTAACACAACCGTTAGTGTTTTACCAAGACCATTGAATGAGTCACAAACTATTCCAATAAAATTGAAACGTCGTCTCGGTTATAAACACCATTACCAATTTCAGAATGTTAGACCTACGAAAGTGGTAGAAGCAGCTCAATACTTGGTTCGGACTAGTGAAATATTCAAAAACGAAGGAATACAAGTAATGGATAATTATGTGTCAAATCCAGTCAATAATGACGATGAATGGTCAGAATTCATTACTAAGAATAACAATAAAACTTCAGATAATCCATCAAACGATGTAAACACTCAAAATCAAGAAACAGCAGACACAGGAACCAGTAACAATTCCATTGATAATGACACTGACGATGAGTGGTGTGAAGTAACTGAACGACCCTCAGGTGTTATGGATACGTTATTACAAGAACCTGACGTTACTCAACATGGTGATAAAATAATCAGTTTTGCACCAGGAGAAGGAAACAGACCACTTGGTATATTTTTAGATAAAGACGCTGAATTTCTGTCTTTCCCTACCATTTATTGTGGCAAACGTCAAGCTGATAACAGTGAAAGACTAGTGCCTGTTCACTATAGTACGATTTGTAAGTGGGAATTAAGAAGTCAGGATCGAAGAGTTGCTCAGTCTGTACCAAACATTTTTTACAAATTAAAAAAATTGCAGATCAAACAAATTCAAGGAAGTGCAAGTTTATCGTTGCGTAAATGTAAAACTAAGGGTAAGACTTACCCAGCAGGAGATTTGAAGTCTGAAAGTTCTGTTAATAAGTTAATCAATTTAGATGAAGGATTCAGAGTTTTAAGAAATTTACGCAGTTCCCCTCAATACTTTGAAAGATGTAAGAAAGATCTATTTGCAATGATTCGTCAGCTTGGGACACCTACATGGTTCTGTTCATTTTCAGCTGCGGAAACGCGCTGGATTCATTTGTCTTATTGACAAAAAAGACTACACTGACGATGACGTTAAACAAATGACTTGGCAAAAGAAGTCTGAACTGATACAAAAAGATCCAGTAACATGTGCACGAAATTTTGAACATATGGTGCAGTTATTTATTCACAATTTTATAAAAAATCCATGCCATCCAATTGGAGAAGTTGTTGACTTTTTCTATCGTGTTGAATTCCAGCAAAGAGGTTCTCCACATATCCATGGATTATTCTGGATAAAAAACGCACCCCAGTATGGTAAAGATTCCGATGAAGTTATTACCAAATTTGTAGACACCTACATTTCGTGTAAGACTGACTCAGATGGCTTAACTGAACTAATAAATTTACAAAGACATAAGCACTCCAAAACGTGCAAGAAAAGAGGAAATGCTGTTTGCAGATTTGATTTTCCATTACCACCAATGCCAAGAACTATGATTTTAGAGCCTTTATCTGAAACTGATCTAGACGAAAATATCTTGGATATACTAAAGAAAGCTTTAGAACGAATACGTTCTTTATTAAACTCTATTAAAGCTGATGAAACCATGACCTTTGATGAGTTTCTCGAAAAGTTAAATTTATCGGAACAGCAATACTTAAAAGCTATAAGACTTTCTCTTAAACATAACACTTTATTATTGAAACGATCACCTGCTGAGATACGAATTAACTGTTACAATCCAAACTTACTCAGAGCATGGAGGGCGAATATGGATATTCAGTACGTGTTAGATCCTTACGCTTGCGCTGTTTATATCCTTTCATATATTACTAAAGGTCAAAGAGGAATGAGCAAGTTACTTCGTAAAGCATGCGAAGAAGCAAAAGAAGGCAATAAGAACATTGTTAACAAAGTGAGACATATAGGTAACAAATTTCTCAATGCTGTCGAAATAAGTGCACAAGAGGCTGTCTACTTAGTAATGCAAATACCTTTGAGATGATCATCTTGAGATTTCCAATTTATCAGTACATCTGACCCAGATGAAAGAACATTCTTATTAAAAATTAAAGAACTCCCTGATAATTCTGCTGATATTGAATAAGATAACATTATTAAAAGATACCAGAGAAGACCAAAATTGGAAAAATTGGAAAATTTATGTCTGGCGGATTTTGTCGCTTGGTTCAATTGTAATCAACAGTAATCAACAAAGCAAACACAAATCAAATTCAACATTAATAGATGATTATCTTTTAGAGAGTAATTTCAATGATAATGTAGATGATGATCTTTCTGATAAAGAACAGGAAAAAAATGAAAATGACCAATATGAAATGAAAGGTGGAATATCGCTGGTGAAAAGGCAAAAGCCAAGAATAATACGGTCTGTTAGATTTAATAAAAACAAAGATGCAGAAAATTATTGTAGAGAACAGATAATGCTTTACACTGCTTGGAGGAATGAAAATACAGATCTTTTGAAGGACTCGAAAAATTACCAAGACCAATATGAAATTGTCAAAGATGTGATAGAACAAAACAGAAAACAATATGAGAATCACACCGAAGTTCTTGATCAGGCCGTACAAGATATTGAAAGTGAAGAGAATTTAGTCGCTCCAAATACACAGTATAGAGATGAACAAGACAGAGAAATTGGCCCGAAAGCAAGTGAATTATTCGGATGCTTTGATCCTGGAAAAGATAAACATCATGCCCAGTACGACTTGATAAATGATATTGGCATTTATCCCCGAACAAACGATCACGAAGAACTTGTTGTAAAAAGGCTGAATGATGTTGATTTTAGAAAACTTGTCCAATCACTTAATGTTGAACAAAAAGAGTTTTTTACCATGTACTGAACTCTATCAAGACTGATAAGCTGCCAATGAGACTATTTTTAAGTGGAGGTGCTGGTGTAGGTGAAAGTACTGTAACTAATGCTTTGTATGAAGCTCTTATAAGATACTTAAATTCTCAACCTCAGAATGATCCTGATGATGTCAGTCTTGTAAAAGTTGCCCCAACAGGCAAAGCTGCTTTTAACATAAGAGGAAATGCCGCGTTTAAAATTCCCGCGAACAGAGGATTGAATTATTGTACTCTAGATAGAGACCGGTTGAACACAATAAGATCTCAGTTACACAGAATGCAAGTTATCTTTATTGACGAGATATCTATGGTGGGCAGTGGTATGTTTAATTTTCTTGACCAAAGATTACAACAAATCATGGGCACAAAAGAACCATTTGGTGGTCTTAGTATAATAACTGTTGGCGACTTGTTTCAACTGAAACCTGTATTTGATAATTGGATATTTGAGAATTCAAAGGATGGTTATGCTGCATTAGCAACAAATCTCTGGCAACAATATTTTCAAATGTTCGAATTATCAGAAATTATGCGACAAAAAGAAGACAAAGAATTTGCTTAAATTTTAAATCGTATCAGAGAAGGAAATCATACTGAAAATGATCTTGAGGTTTTGAAAGAAAGAATTTTAAACCTTAGTCCACAACATCCTGATTATCCAATATCTTCAACCCATTTATTCAGTATTATATAATACCCCATTAAATTTAGAGCGTTTAATTGGTTGATGACGATCACGTGATATTGAATAGAAAGTCCCATTTCCCAAGAGTGCAATGGAAAGCGTTCCATTGCACTCTCCAGAGTGCAATTGTACTATACATTTTGTTCCATTGCACTCTTAATGCTTTCAGTAAATACCATCCATCAAAATGCTTCTTGCACCGTTGTCGCATTTATTTACACCCGATTTTCACATGTGAGGTTAATGTATTTTATGCAAACACTAATATTCAAAGACCTCAAAATGGCGGGAGCTAGTCGTAAGCCTTTTGTTTTCGTAAATGAAGAGGACATTTCTCATCTTATTGAAGACACAGACGCCCAAAATACAAAAAGGCAAATAAAATATGCCGTTTCACATATGAACTTGTTTGCTTCATGCGCTGGTGAAACATCTTTGGAGAATATGACGGATTTAGAACTCGATAATTTCCTTGTACGGTGTTACGCTGGACTACGAAAGGACGATGGCCAATTATACTCGACAAAATCTATGCATGGGCTTCGCTATGGCATACGTAAACATTTCCAGTCGATCAAAGGTATTGATATCACTAACAGTAATCAATTTGTACAAAGCAATAAAGTCTTTAAAGCAATGTTGGTAAAGCTCAAAAAGGAGGGCAAAGGCGTTGTGAAACATAAAGATGCCATAAGCAAAGAGGACATAACCAAAATACTATCGTCTTTGGATTTAAGTACACCGCAAGGTTTGCAAGACAAAGTGTTTATTGACGTTATGATGTATTTCGCAAACAGGGGGCGAGAAAACTTACGAAATATGAAAATAACTGACTTTGTTATACAGAAAAATTACAAAGGTCTGCAGTATATAACCCATCGCGATGCACTCACGAAAACCAGAAGAGAAAATAACAACGAGGGATACAGTGGACATATGTATGAGATTCCAGGCTCTTCAAAGTGTCCCGTTACTTCATTCCTAGCATTGAAAGCCGTCCTAAACCCTGCACAAGATTGCATATGGCAAAGGCCTAAACCTAGAGCTCCACCAGAAGGTACACCATGGTACACAATCGCACCATTAGGTGTCAACACCATTGGAAACAAGATGAAAACTATTTTGCAACAAGCAGGGTGCTCCATTGTGTATACAAACCACAGTTTAAGAGCTACAACTGTCACTATTCTTGATGAAGCAGGAGTTGCGAGTTGTGACATCATGTCAGTCACAGGACACAAATCCGAGTCATCCCTTAAACATTATGTTCGTACAAGCAATTCCAAGAAGGAAGA